GGAAAGAGGGGATTCAAGCAGTATGTCATCGGAAATGACCCCTCTCCCTCCTTGCCTCTGAGAACACGTGTCTCTCCTCCAGTTGAGGGTCAGCAAGGAGCAGGACCACTTCCTGATCAGCCCTAAGGGAGTTTCTTGCAGCGAAGTCACAGCATCCAGCCTGGTGAGTACAGTCCGGCCTGTCACCACCCATTTCTTGCTGAAATGTCAGTACTCTCTCTGCTCCTACGGTGAGAGGTCATCTCCAAGGTAGCCCCTGCCATCCTGTCCTTCTTGCAGTTTGCAATCTAGTGGGACAGAGAAGTCACATGGACACCAAAACAAACTGAGAGCGCAGAGCATGATGTGATCAAGAGACGAAATGGGAGGTGTAGGCCGCAAGCGCAGTGGGAGGGCGAGGGGAGAAGAGATGAGCCTGGAGGCCTCTGAGCCTGGGATTGGACAAAGGCTGGGAGCCGGGAAGCCTTCCAGCTGAGGGGATACTTTAGAACAACAGCCAGTGCTTTGTCCCAAAGCAGTGCAAGACTCTTCTAGTGCCGGTGCCCTGAGAGAGCGCTTCTGGGTGCCCTTTCTGTCCTCCTGTTCCTTTTAGGCGTGGTAGGAAGAAACTTCCAGAATCGGTTTCGATCAGGAAAGATTTCTGGGTGCGGGGGTCGGGGGAGAGGAAAGTAGTCTAGGGACTGGCTTAGAAGCAGAAGAAGTTGAGTTCAGGTGCATTTTTACATTTACACAAAGTTGTTTTTGTCTGTGCTTAGACGTGATTAAGGAGTGGCTTTTGTCTTCTGTGTCACAGTCAAAAGTGGCCGTCTCTGGTGATGATGTTCTATGAGATTGTTAATGTTAGGCAGTGCCACGGCTTAGCTGTGTGCCAGGTCAGCCGCAGCGACCAGCAGTTTGTGTGTGTGTGTGTGTGTGTGTGTGTGTGTGTGTGTGTGCGCGCGCGCGCTCCCGCCCGTGCGCGTGCGCGTGTGTTTTCACCATGACACCCACAACCCCTTGGAGTCAAAAGCAGATTGTAAGACCAGTGACTGCTCTCCATTATTTGTCCTTTAAGACCTAGCTTTCGGGTGACTGGTAAATGGGTGTTCATTATATTATCCTCTTTACCTTTGTGTGTGATTAAAAATTTTTCAAAATAACAAGTGGGAAAAAAAGGAAAAAGACTCAAGTTTAGATGTTCGTCCCTCTAACAGGAGGAATTAAAGACTCCTCCTATCTGCTTCTAGAGAATTCTGTGAATGATTCTCCTCTTGCACCTTGCTACTCAAAGTGTGGTCCGTGGACCAGCAGCAGGGCTGTCACTGGGATCTTGTTACAAATGCAGACTCTCAGGCCGAGTTCTTGGCCTACGGAATCCGAATCTGCATTTTGACAGGATCTCCAGGTGATTCTTTTTTTTTAAATCAATTTTTTAAAAATTGAAGTATAGGTGATTTACAACGTTGCGTTAATTTCTGCTACAGCAAAGTGACTCAGTTACACACGTATATGCATTCTTTTTTTATATATTTTTTCCATTATGGTTTATCATAGGATATTGAATATAGTTCTCTGTGCTATACAGTAGGACCTTGTTGTTTAACCATTCTATATATAAAAGCTTACATCTGCTAACCCCAGCCTCCCACTCCATCCCTCCCCCAACCCCTCCCCCCTTGGCAACCACCAGTCTCTTCTCTATGTCCCTGATTCTGCTTCTGTTTCATAGATAGGTTCATTTGTGTCATATTTTAGATTCCACTGATAAGTGATATCATATGGTATTTGTCTTTCTCTTTCTGACTTACTTCACTTAGTATGATAATCTCTAGTTGCATCCAGGTGATTAAAGTTTGAGAAACTCTGCTCTAGCATTTTTCAATGCTGAATTATAATCGCCTTTGTTTCCCAGTAGCCTGTGTGCTCACCCTGCAGGCAGGAATGGGGTCTCTTGCCCCCCACATAAAGCACATTCATTGCCCATGGTATGGTGGAGAGTGGACACAGGTGGGTGGGCGTGTGCCTGGCCCACCTGCCGGGAGGGGAATGAGGGGCCTCTGCCTGCTGGTGGCCGGAAGTCTCTCTTCCCCCTGGCCCAGATCAAGGTGAACATCCTGGGAGAGGTGGTGGAGAAGGGCAGCAGCTGCTTCCCAGTGGACACCACGGGCTTCTGCCTGCACTCGGCCATCTACGCCGCCAGACCTGACGTGCGCTGTGTCATCCACCTGCATACTCCGGCCACGGCGGCGGTGAGTGTCAGCTCTTCAGCCAGCATTTCAGTCTCCGAGGCTGGCAGCAGACCCATGGCACCTGTCTCTCTGAGGGTCTCCCTGAAGAAAGACATAAGCCCCCAAGCTAGGAGCAAACTCACCGTATAAAACAGTTCTGGAAAGATTCCCTGGAACTCAGAGCAAGGTGAGGAGGGGACACCCAACATGGGAACCTCCTCCTCTACATTTTCTAACTATGGAAGTCTAGGTGAGGGGAGACAAGGTGAAGATGTGTAAAGTCTTCCCTGCTGCACCCCGCACCTGCTACATACGCAAACCGGTGCCACAGGCCCGGGTGACGGCACCTTCCGAGTGTCTGGGAACTGGGAGAGAGCAGAGGGAAGACCATCAAGGAGCAAGCCGTCCCCCAAGGGTCTCTGGGCGTTTCTCCATGTCTACCTGAGACGCTGTGGTGCACCTGGAAAGACAGCAGACACTCAACCCTCACCCCCAGGCCACATGCCTACAGGGGCAAAAGAGACCTGTCACTGGCCTGTGGTTTTCTCTGCAAATCACTCTGGTTACAAGCACTCAGACCTTCCAGAATTCGGACTAAGACTGCATGTTGTATTCGTGCCAAGTATCCATTTCTGCAGGGCCGGGGCTTACACGAGGGGCAAGATGAGCGAAGTGGGGCAAGCGGCCCTTCTAACCTCTCCACGCTCCTTGCTTTTAATAAAAGGTGGGGTTTGGGGCATGGCCGTTTCAGCCTGCGTTTTAACTCTGTTCTCTGGCACTTGCATTGCTCCGTTGCCGGTAAAATGGGGGCTTCTCAATGGGCCTCCCTGTTAGTGAAGAATCGTGGCTGTTGATGCACTGACCCAAGGCTGAGGGTCTCGCGCAACCCACCCCAGGGACCCTGGACCCTGCTTCAGCCCTGCCTGGTGCCAACCCCACCAGCCTTGCCTCTTCCCGGGTCCTAGGACAAGAGCCAAGCAGGGGTGGGCAGCAGCACGCCATCCCTCCAGCGTATGCTTTGCAGCAGTTTTAGAAGGTGATGTCTTGACGTGGCAGCTGGGAAAAGTGTGATGAAAAGGCTTTAGAGGAAGCAGTGAGAAAACAAGAGCCTCGCCAAGGCGGGGGTGGGGGGTGGGGTGGGGGGGTGCCTTTCTCTTGCGCTCGCTCCCTCCCCTGCCACGTCCCCAGACAGAACTTGACTGTGCTGCTCTGAGGCCAGGGCGACTGTGACAGAGGGGCGAGGAGAGGGGTGGAGCTGCCGAGCTACACATTCATTCCGTCGTCTCACTACAGGTGTCAGCCATGAAGTGGGGCCTCCTGCCTGTGTCCCACAACGCCCTGGTGGTAGGGGACATGGCCTATTATGACTTCAACGGCGAGATGGAACAGGAAGCCGATCGGATCAACCTGCAGAAGTGCCTTGGACCCACCTGCAAGGTTCGGCTCAGCTGTTCTGGGAAGATGCTCTGGGTGGGATTGTCAAAAACCGACATCACAAGAGCGACCAATGTTCATTGGAACATGTTTATAAGTTGCAGATAAACAGCAATAACAACAAATGACATAAAACTCTTTCACCCTACCATGCGATTTGGGTGCACCCCCCCGTAACTATTCATATAGATTTACAAAACCAGGATTATAAAATATATTCTCCCTTTTCCCCTTAGCGATATACAGTAAACACCCTTGTATGCTACTAAATACTTTCTAATCACTATTTTAAATTATACTTCATTGTATGAATGGCTGTGCCACTACTTACCTACACAGTCCTCTATGGCTGGACATTGAAAAGTTTGCCCCCCAATTTTCTCTTAATATAAACAACTCTGTGATGAAAAATTCTTTCAGCTACATCTTTGTATTTGCTTGGGATGATTTCCTTAGGATAAACTCCTAAGGATGCACATTTTAAAACTCTTACTGCATAGTACCAAATTGCTCTCTCCTCCGGCCATGACTAGTACTTGAGAATGCTGTTTCCCTAC